CACCTGGCCTTCGGAATTTTACTTCAACCTTGGAAGAAGATAAATAAACAAGTGTGAGCTCTGTGAATTCACGGTAGTCATTATGCAGGCAATCTACATCTTTAATTGCACGAGCGATCACCTCATCCTTCATCTTCATCAGCAGCTGTTGGGCCTCCACGTCATGATCAGTTGGACAAAATGGCAGTATCTGAGATGAGTCGTGTGGCACTAAATTCCAGTTACTTCGTAGCCTTGTGAACACTGTGACTTCTGGTGACTTTGATGCTTCTATCTTGAGGTCAGTAAACACATGAGATAGAAGTACTTCACCAATGTGATGACGACATCCTGACCAGAGGACAGCACGTTCCAGCTTATCTTGAATGGCAATGCAAGCTGCAGTTAGGTGACCTGTATTTGAGCTCGTTGTGTCGAATGTCATATTAACACTTCGATCATTACAATGCCACTCGATCATTAGGTTCATTGTTAGCTTGGCAATGATTTCTCCAACAGATTGATCTGTACCCTTGAAGTAACTAGGCACTCCCAGTAGCTTCAACTGCAATGCATCACCAACAACCACCGTCATACGTTCTTCAGTGACACGATTATTTGTTAGAGTTGGTGTCAGCTTTCCATCCCAATGCAGAGTACAGAGTTTTGGTGGTTCCCAGCTATTGTGAATTTCTATAGAAATTTCGCGTACAACCTTGCGTTGTGCGTGATCTGCAGTTGCATACGAAGAAGCAACCATAGATACATCGCCACCAGACTCAGCTATGACTCCTTGTGTGAATGCAGATTGTTGTGTTGGCGCCATCTTCAGACGTGTTGCTAATGACACAAGGTTTGGTCGGCTTAGCAAATCTGGTGGTATGAATGACAATGTTCCTTTCGGTTTTATACGGTTTGGTTTTTGTAGCTCCATTTCTTTTGATGGAGATCTAAATTCTGATTCCATGTCATCTTCAGAAGCAGACTCGCTTGACTCATCACTACATTCGTCAGTTACAACTTCTGTCAACACAGTCTTGGTTGATGCTTCAATCTCACCACGACCACACTTCAGGCGTCCTAATGCTGCAACATCACGACAATGACGCCGATTTATCTTCTGAGCAAGTGCCTTGTCAAATACCCCAAAACTTGTGGCTCTATCAGTTTTCATTGACTGCAGGAATGCAAGATCTTCATCATTGTTCATAAGACTATCCACGTTGGCCGGCCAGAGTTGGAAAGTTGTTGTCAACATGGACAACAACTTTCCAACTCTGGAAAGTTGTTGTCCATGTTGACAACATCTCAAGAAGCTTGTGCTGAGTTGCAGGTGTTTCGCGGCAACTTTTATTGATCGAACGAAATTTATTGTTATCATCAAGAAGTTTCACTATTTTTCGCATGCTCTACGCTTGGTGACCATTGGGATGTTGGCTTTTTTATACAAAGCTTTAACCTGTTTCAGAGCTATCTTGGCAGATGTGAATCTTGATGTTGCACCGAGTGATCATGGTCGCTTACCATGGGTAGCCTCTTTACTGTGATACATCATGCATCTCAAAACTTGCAAGCAGGTTGGCAATTGGATACCAGTGATTAGTGCATCATCAGCACAGATTGCAGCACCTATACCAAACAACTCTGTAGCTCTACGAGTCTGTGGCTTTCTTTTTGAGTCCAAGACAGGAGTATTTCGGCGACTTGCACTACCAGATGATGACGAATTATCGTCAAATTTGGGCTGCTTAGGTGTTGTTGGCTCAACTTCAGCTTTAACTGCTTTATTCATGTTTTTTAAGGAATTAGGGTTCTAAAAAAAGAGAATAGTGTTGTAACTGTTGTTATTAAGTTGTGAACTTGGTTTATCAAATTAGCAAATTATTTGAATATTTTGTGTAATTTATTATTCATTTTTTGGAATATTATTTGAATTATTATTTATTGGATTGCACAACATTACAGATATTTCACATTGCTTAGGTAATGCCTAACATGTCTCATAGGTTTATTGTATATATACAGTATACATTATACAATTATAGTATCTACATAAACAATGAATTACTGATTTACTGCATGTAATATGTATATACACAAAATAATGCAGAAATTAATATATTTAATGGAATTGTAAATTTACCAATTGTCATTGGACTGGGTTAACTAATATATAATTAAATTTTAATTTGATTTTTTGAGCAGACTTGACTCTGTTTATAAAATTACATTTTCAATCATGGTAGCCAAAGAACATAAATATAAAGACAAAGCTAATAATTATAAAAAAATTATTTAGCACTTAATTTTGGTAAATAAGGTGAAACTTGTTAGGGCATGGGGGACCTCTAAATATTGTCTAATAAAATTTATTTTTTAACACATTGCATCTTTTGGTGATGGGAACAACTTGAGATAATAGACAGATTAATATTAAAATTTTTTTTTTTGTGATGCACCCTAATATATATATATATATATATATATATATATATATATATATATATATATATATATATATATATATATATATATATATATATATATATATATATGTATGTATATATATATATATGTATGTATATATATATATATATATATATATATATATATATATATATATATATATATATATATATATATATATATATATCAGAGATGTACACTAGATTTTTTTTTTTTAGTTTTAACACTTGCAGGCATTGTGCAAAATCCAAACTTTTCTATATTCATGCTTAAGTCTAATGTTTTACAAAGAATTCTTTAACCATTCTTTTATGTATTTTTACTTAATACCTCTTTACTCTATCACCTTTCTCTTTATTCTTTATTGTTCTCCTTTTTACCAAGATGCACTCTTTTAGATGTAATTTCTGATCAAATTAACCATGCCCTCTCTCTTTACCCTTCTGTCAAATTGTTGTTATTGGTGACTTTAATCACACTGAATGGTTTATTCTTACTCAGATAATTAACTTTGTGACTCATTTTTCCTGAAAACCCTATTCATTTACCTTCACTCCTTAATTTATGTCTTGTTTCTGATCCTAGCTTGTGTTCAGTCTCTCCTTTTTTCTCCCTTAGTTGTTTCTGACCATGCAATGATCTCTTTGAATGTTTCATCTTGTGCATCGCTTTCAGACTAACCCTATTATCACACTTCTTACTACTACCCTTAAGCTCTTCGTGATTTTTGTGGTAGCTCTTGGACTGATGTCTTTTCTCTCTCAGATGATAAGTGTGCCTCCTATGTAACCTCTTGAATTCAGGCAGGAATAGAAACTTTTCTCCTTTTTGTTGGTTTCATATCAAGCCTCATTTTACTTCATGGTCTCACCTTCTTTTGCAACTGCTATATCTGATTTTAATCATTTTTTTTAAAAGAACAACTATCTTGAGAACAAATGGCTATTTATTATTGCAAGGCATTATTACGCATTAGATGGGGATGGAAACGCTAAAACTATTGCTCTTGACATATCTAAAGCTTTCAATAAAGTTTGGCATTCTGGTCTTCTTCATAAGCTTGTTTCATATGGTGGATGTATCTGGGAAAATTTTTGAGGTTATCAAATTTTTTCTTTCGAACCGCTTTGTGAAAGTCATTCTTGAAGGCCAACCCTCTCCTTCATTTTCAATAACTTTTGGGGTACCTCAAGATTCTTTGGTCCTCTTTTGTTTCTTATCTACATTTAATGATCTTCCTGACAACCTTACATCTAAAGTAGCCCTTTTTGCTGATGACTCAATTTTATACTCTTGTCTTGATAAAAAGTCTTCTTTTTTTTTGATCACTTAAAATAGGCAGCCGATCTTGAATCTGATCTCACTTTTGTAACAGATTGAGGCTTGGAGTGGCTTGTAAATTTTAACTCCAACTAAATTCAGTTATTTACTACAAACAACTATTGCAATACTCTCAACATTAATGAATGACAACTCTCTTACTGATTTCTCTTCTTTGCGTTTTCTTGGATTATCATTTACTACTGGCCTTTCATGAAAACTGCATATACAATTGATTGCTAATTTAGCATCTGCTAAGGTTGCTTCTCTTTATTGTGCTTGCCATTTTCTCTCTCCTGATTCCACTCTCTACCTCTAGCAATTTTGTATTCGTCCCTGTATTGAATACTGTTGTTATATTTGGGCTGGATCTTCTAATGATGCTCTTTCTCTTCTTGACAAGGTCTAAAAATTGTAAACGTAGTTGGACCCGCTTTATCTGCTAAGCTTGAGTCTCTGTCGAATTGCCGTAAAGTTGTATTTCTCTTTTCTACAAATACTATCATAGCTGCTGCTCAAAAGAGCAATCACCTCTGGTTCCATAAAATAAAACTTATTCTTGTTTGACTCGTTATTTAACAGAGTCTCATTCTTTTGCTATATCTGTCCCTGTATGCTCTAAAAACTTTTATTCATCTAGTTTTTTTCACCGCTTTTCAACCCTTTGGAACTCTTTCCCATCTTCATGTTTTCCTGACTTATACAACTTTAATTTTTCAAGTCTTCTGTCAACCATTTCCTTGCTCTATAACTATTCTTTTTTTTTTTTCTAGTAACTCCCAACTCAAGAGTGGTTGTTTGCAGCCTTATTGGGAGTGAATCAGAATAAAAAATAAATAAAATACATTTTAGATATGTTAAATCTGGTACAGTTAAATATGTTAGATAGGTAGTGGCAAAGTGCTTACTTTGTAAACAAGAAGTTCTGGTCCTTATTTTTATAGTTATAAAGACTGATAAAAATCGTTAATAAATTGCATATCAAAACTTTCAATTATTATAAATGATATGTTTTATATGTTTGTATCATTCTTATCTCGCCTTTATGCAAATTATTTGTCAAAAATAATTGAATTAATTAAATTAAAATGTCAAAAAATATATTTCTTGTATTTTTATTGTATATTTATACTTATATATTATTTTCAATAATTGCTTAATTCTTATGTCAAACCATTTTTTATTACTTAATAAATATATACAAGTTAATAAATATATACAAATTTATTTTTAAGGTATAAATAAAGCTGGATTTCTTCTTCATTCTGCCATTCACGAGGCTAGAACAGATATTAAATGTGTTATACATGTTCATACAGCAGATGTTGTTGCAGTGAGTTTTTTATTTTTGATGAATAATTTAAATTAAATTAATAATTATGATTATATATATATATATATATATATATATATATATATATATATACATATATATATACATATATATATATATATATATATATATATATATATATATATATATATATATATATATATATATATATATATATATATATTATATATATATATATATATATATATATATATATATATATATATAAGGCTCAAAATAATAAAATTTTTGTACCAGACAATTTGTTTGATAAATACTAAAGTTTGGCGGACATGTTTGATAAAACCTGAAGAAATGCAATTAAACGCCATTCCTGACACTAATATTTTAAAATTTCAACTTGACCACAGCAGTTTGTTTTGAAAACTTGAGAAATATAAAAGATAACTTATCTAAAAAAAAAAAATCTTAAAGAAAAAGAAAAAATCTGAGCTCAAAAAACTAAAGTTTGAAAAGGAAAATATATTTACATTTCGTTTTTTAAAAAATACTATACTATGCAAAATGTTTTGTAAATTATTATAAATATATTAAATACATAAATTACTATGTTTTCTTATTAGTTCATTAAATAAAGTAACAAATTAATTCTAATCTGGGTTGAAAAAAACCCAGGATTTTTAAAAAAACCCAACCCAAATGGTTTTTTTTGGGTTTTATGTGTTTTTTTGGGGTTTTTTAAAAACTGATCAAAATACCAAATTTTTATAATTGTATGAGTACAATAATTTTTTTTTTAATTTCATAAATTCACCTCCCTATTGCTCCAATGACCACTTCAGTCAAGGGAGCAACTCATTTTTTAAAATATTTTGTCTCAATCCTTAACATTACCATTTTTACTAACAAACAACATTAACAACTAAAATTTTTAAACAAAGGCGCTGTGTGGAGAAATAGATTGAGGTAATTTGAACTCCAACCTTCTGATTGTGGGCCAATGTTTTACCACTAGTCTACTAGCGCATTTTACCTATAGTGCAAAAGGGGACTCCATCAACTATAAATGATGTTAATTAAATGCACTAAATTAAAAACATGTTCAGAATCTTTTTGACTAAAAAAAAGTTACTATAAAAATTATTATGACAATTGAGTTATTCAAAGTTGGTAAGACAATATAAATGTTGCAAACTAGTTTTTTTTACTAACATGTTCAGCATATCATTTCATAAACTACTTTGCACAAGCTTACAACATGTAATCAACAAGTTTGCAACATGATGTTACAACCTTGTAAGTTATTGTCAATCAGGATGACTATGAACAGTGTTAAAGCATTTTTGCATCATAGTAAAAAACTGTTAGCCTAATCACTACATTTTTTTTTATCAGAACATTATACTATCCAGCTTCCTGGAAAAGTTATCGGCCTGATCAACTGAACTTAGGCAAAAAATGGATTTTTGCCTAAGTTCAGTTGCCTAAAATATCTAAAATGAATTTGTTAAGAACCATTACATTGTCTCCACCACCAGATTCTTTTTTTTTCCCTGAAGATGTTTTACTGGCTCAGTTTTGCAACTGAATCCAAGTAACACATTATATAGCTCTATTGTGTGTGTGTTTCTTCACCTTTTAGCAAATTGATACTGATGTTCATTTTCAACCCGCTGTTTATAGTCACCCCTATTGGTGGTACATGTTGTAAACTTGTAGCTGATGCAAAATATTCAAAACCTGTCAAAAGGCAGATGAGCATAAGTATCATTTTTACCAACAAATCTTGTCATTGTGAAATGCATACAAGTTTTCAACATATTCTCTCATTGAATGAGCAAACATGTTCCAAACTTGCTTGCACATAACTTAATTTTTTTTATCTTTTAAATTTTATGCACTTAATAAGGATAAGTCTCGTAAACTGTAGCATTTTTTTTTTACCTGACAACTTTCCATTTCTAAACTGTAAATAAAGTTTAATAATTTTTATATATCAAGCCTTCCCAGGAAAGGCGTGCGGTTTTTCGTCTCGTATGACCACACGCGATTATAATATTTTAGAAAACGTGAACACAGCCATTTGCAAGTTTTATAATAATGCTGAAAAAGTTTCAAAAACAAAAAAACAAAACTGACAAAATAAAAAGAGATTGAAATAGAAAAAAATAAAATCAAATTAATAATTTAAATAATTTGTGTACTGTTTTTATTTTTGTCTCTTTAGAGTTATATTCAGCAACAAAATTAGATAAGGTGAAGCAAAAAAAAAAAACAGTTTGAAGCCTACAATAAAAAGAATGATTTTCCTTTTCTTAATTTTATTTTAAGAGGATAGCAAAAGTACAAATTGCAATGTGTTTGTAAAATTTATTTGTATAATTTTAATGTAACAACAAGGGATGAATTAAGCGAATGCAAAACGCAAAATCTGGAAAAATATCAAGTATTCAAAATTTTAGTTTATACAAAACCGTGTTCCTTGTTTTTAAGGGGAGAATCAACTTAAATTTGTTAGCGAAAAAATAAAACAATAAACTTACGATTACAAAAGTAATAACACTCTAGTCACTAGCGATTACAAAAGTAATAACACTATAATAGTGTTATTACTTTTATAACGCACTTATAACTTTTAAAATTCATTCTTTGTTCAAGCAACATTAGTATTCCAAAATTTTAATTGAAGTAGAAAAATATCTAGAAGAATAAAGTGAATGTTCAAATAATATTAAAACTAAAGTAACTTATAAAAATGTGACAAACAACTTTATAAAAACGTATCGTGTTAAAAGTTTAGCATTATGAAAAACGTTACTAATGGACCGTAAAAATATTGGTTAAATTATACAATAAAAAATTTTTATTGGTTAATTTTAAAATTAACGCACGTTTTTACGTAACATTTTTCATAATGCTATACTTTTTATAAAGTACTTTTTTATAATGTTGTTTAGGTTATATGTGAAAGTTCCTGAAATTTTTAATAATATTTGAATATCCGCTTTATTTTTTCTAGATGCTTTTCTACTTTAAAAATGTTTGGAATTAATAATGTTGTTTGAACAAAAAATTAACTTTAAAAGTAATAAGCGCTTTATAAATGTCATAACACTATTATAGTTTTATTACTTTTATAATGCAGTTAGTGACTAAAGTGTTATTACTTTTGTAGTCGTAAGTTTATTGTTTTTGTTTTGTTTTTTATAACTTTCTCGCTAGCAAACTTTTAATAATTTACTCCTTATAAACAAAATACACAGCTTTGCATGAACTAAAATTTTAAAGACTTATTATTTTACCAGAGATTGCAAATCGCGATCGTATAATTTAACTCATGATATAAACTTGTTACATTATAATTATACAAATATGTTTTACAAACAGATGACGATACATATTTTCTCTTTCCTCTTTAAAAGAAAAAACATGGTAAAAATATGGGAAAGTTTTAATGCCTAAAACCTTTTTTTTTTTTTTTTTTTTTGTTTTGTTTTGTTTTAATGAATTTTGTTGGCGATAATAATAACCACTAAGAAAAAGCAAAAATAATAACAACACACAAATTATTTAAACTATTATTATTATTTTCTATTTAAGTTTACTTTAATTTCTTATGTAGTTATTAAATTTAAAACAATTTTTCAGTAACGCATATAATATAACTTGCGCAAACGGCCATGATCACGTTCTCTAACTTGGAAAACATTTTCATGGTCGTACGAGACAAAAACCTCACGCCTTTCCTGGGAAGGCTTGTATATAGTATTTTGCTTGTGGCTTTGTACTGAAATTTGCAGTTCACAACATAAGCTTTAAAAAATAAAAAATTAAATACCAATATAAAATGACATATATAAAACGCTTGTTAGGAATTATAGACATTCGAGAGGAGAATAAAGATACTAAATAACCAGTGATGTCTTGAAATTTAGTTAATAGAATGATTTTTATTTCCTTTATAAGTATTTAACTAATTTAATTTTTTAGTACATATTTTAATAACATTTATAATAACTTGCTATATGTTTAAAAAAAATAATAAATAACCAACTTGCTACAAAATTAGATTGATCGGTATTGGATATATTCTAAATACCATTATGTATATAAATACAGTGTTTACAAGAGTAATTACAGTATAAAAGTTGCACTTGCTGATAATAAAGCATTTATAGGTGTTAAAATCAGAGTTATCAGTTGTAAAATAGGTCATTTTAAAAAAAACCCAAGTATATTTTAAGTTTTTTTGGGTTTTTTTAAGGTGGTTTTTTTTGGGTTTGTTTGGATTTTTTTGGGTTGGATTTTTTTGCCAAACTTGATTCTAATGGTTGTTCACAATAAACACATTTCTTTAAATTATCAAAGAATATTATATCTAATTACATTTATAAATGTTTTTGATGAATCTTTACAAACTTTTTTTATGATCCATACTGCAATTTGGATTAGGCATAAGTTGTGAGGTAAAGCATAAGTTGCAATGACATTTGTCTGGCGGGATAAACTAGTTATAAATGCTGATCCTCATTGAAACGCCATTAATAATAGATGGGACTCTAAGGAGATGTTTATTACTTAATCACTACACAAATTATGTTTACACATTAGCATTAATCTTTTTTGTTTCCATTTGGAGACCTTTCATTGTTGTTAGCATACTTTTATTTTGTGATCGGGTTTTAGTTTTATAATTTTTTTGTCTGGTGATGTATTTGTTGTACATCTTCATTCATGTTGGTGTTTATTAAAACAATTTTCTTTATTTTTTTGTTATTGTTGTTGAGTACTGTTTTGGGTGTATAGTTGTCTTATTTATTTTTAAATATTTCTTTATTAATCTTCATTTTTGTCTTGATAACGGTACCCTTTTTAATATTGCATTTAAAAAAATGTTTTATATAAACAAATATATTTTTTTTCTCTGCATTAGTATAAATAAATTAAAAGATGTTAAATATTTTAAAATGATTATTTCTTAAATTTCTAATTGCGGCTTTGCAACTAAAAATGATTTTTATTTTAAAAAAATTAGAGAGTAACAAATAAAAAAATTATATAATTTATTTAATGTATTTATTAAAAGTTTATTTTATTAATAGTGATTTTATTGTGAAAGAAAAGATTTTCCAAACATCATTTATTAAAATTATATTGCTGTATATATCGTTTATTAAAAATATTCTCTGCGCTTTACCTTGCATTTAAAAAAAAGTTTAATTTACTTTTATTGCAAATTTTTGATGCAGCCTTGGAACACGTTTATTTAAAACTCAATTTTGAGTAAAAAAAAATATTAAGGAAGGAAAACCGAAAAAAACAATTGCAATAAAATGAGCAATTTTTTTTAAGAATAAATAAAATGTAAATATTGAACAAAATTTACTAATATTTAATACTTAATATTTATCAAATCAATTTGACAGTTAAATTAAACCCAAGCATTAATGTTAATTTTAATGTACTTTAATTATATAAAATATATTTTTTTTATATAACATATATTTTAATTATATTTTTTTATTTATTATTCTTTAATTATATAAAGTATATTTTTTAAATCAGAATTAAATTATACATTTTTTAAATCAGAATTAGGTTATATAAAATTTTTTTTTCAGAAAAAAAATTGAACTTTTTTATTAAATTAGTTTTAAATTAAATCATGTTTTTTATCAGAATTAAATTTTATAATTATGATCTTTGCTTCAAGCATTAGTATTTTTCAAAGTATTAGTGTTTTTCAAGCGAAAAAATCAATCATTACAATTAAAAAAAAAATTAAAAAAAAATATATCATAAGGGATTGTCCATAAATTATGCAATGCTAAATTTTATTTTAGGTTTTGTTTAATAACTTTGTATGCAAAAAAAAAATTGTTGTTATTTATAAACAATTTTGTTTTCTTTTACAAAATATTTTAATAAAATAGTATTTAATAGTATTGGTGATATAAAATAGTAGTCCCAAGACATGATGTGTTCATATCAAAGAGAATGTTAAAAAAAGATGTCTGAGCAAATTTTTTTTGATTAAAACTAATTAATAAATAAGAATATACTAATAAAATATATAATTTGTAATTAACTTTCAAAATTTTGACAATTTAAAAAATATATATTATAAAACATTTATTTTTGTAAACAAATGATAATAGTTTAAAAGATTTACGGCTTTGCAGAAAGTGGCTCCGAGAATGAACCATAATATTAAAGTAATAGCTCATTTGATAATATATTCTTAAAAAAAATTATGCTAGATATTTCAAAACGCAACAAATTGTAAATAATACAATTCCTAAAACATTTCAACAGAATACTCTAGAACTTTATTTTACTTAGTCAGCGTATTTTGTGAACCAATAGAATTAGTTTGTTAGTAAATTTGGCAGGTTTTTAGTGTTCGCGAATATTCTTTTTATTCTTCCGCAAGATGTTAAAGTTAATAATGTTTCCATGTATGTCCGTAAAAGAAAAATTAATATATATTAATTTTTTAATTTTTAAGCCCTTGCCATAATATATATTGGATGTTATAATAATGGAAATATAAATAATGAAATAAGATCACCTCAATACCAAAAAATACATTTTTAAAAATCAGAAAAAAAATGCGTTAATAATTTTTTTTAATATATACAAAGTAAATTAATAAAAGTGCATTATTATATAGGTTAAAAATTGTTTTTTCTAATATTTTGAAAGAAAAACATATAACAAAAGAAATCAAAATACATGTGGTCTAGACGATTATTTAAAAAAAGTTGCGCAAATAAAATACTATTTTGTTTTTAATTTTTTTACAAACACATTTTAGAACTTTAAAATATAATAAAAATGAATATGATTTGGAAATTGCATGTAAAAAATAATAATCAGTGTATTAAACAAACAAACAAAAAATCTATGACTTAATGTACTAAAACTTCTATGAATTAAACCCACTTGAATAAATTATCAAGTTTGTATAATCCGCCTGGAAAATTGTGTTTATTTTAAGACTCCAAATACCGCAGAAAATGCAGAAAACAAGCTTTGACTAAAACAACAAGATTTGTTTTTCTTGGTATTCATTTATTAATTAGTTTTAATCAAAAAAAATTTGCTCAGACGTTTTTTTTAACATTCTCTTTAATATGAACACAACATGTCTCGGGACTTGGTGGCCCCTTTAATAGAGCTTTAGTTTTCATAGTTTTTATAGCGCTTATATCTAACATAATTGTCATTTAAACTTTTGTTATAAACTTTTTTACATAATCGTTATTCAAAATTTAATGTGGTTTTTTTTAAAATGAAATTAATAATGAAATGAATTACTTCTTTTATCTTACCGCTTATATAATAATTTAAAAGTTAAAAAATGATGAAAAGTCACTGAATGGAAATTGCTCTAGGCGTACCAAAAATTGCTTAACGCGTATGTAAATTGCCTGTAAATGAAAAAACATTTTTGCAGGTTCTTTTGATTATTAGATAAAAAAGAACATTTATAAAATAAAATTGGATTACGTTTTAGTAATAGTTTTTTAAGTTTTACACTGTAATGTTTTGTATCATATCATAAATAAATCAGAAAAACAATTGTTAGCAACAGTTGCTTTTCTGATATTTATTCAATTATTGCAATCTTTTTAGAAAAATTGTTAAAGAGAATGATGCAATTAACAAAATTCAAAGTTCTTTTTTTTTAATCTCCTTCTTTGTGAAACATTTTTTTCTAACTTATAAAGTTTAAAAACCACACTGAAGTAGCTCGAAGTGTGAGATAAAACTTTTCTAATTAACACTTGAATGAATGAGTTCGATACTTTTAAAAGTTTTTTTGTGTTATTCAAATTTAAATAAACAAATTTTTATTACTGTTTATTAAAAAAGATTGTATTTAGATACTAAATAAAAAACACAACAATAAAAATATTGTTTATATTTTATTACTACAAAAACAACTATAAGATTTTATTACTATAAAAATAAGTAACTATAATAATTTTGTGCATATTTTGTTTTTAAAAAGTTTTAAATTAAAAATATAAAATTTTTAAAAACTACTTAAGCTCTTTAGTTCTTTGTTGTTGCTGTTTTTTTACAGTATAACAAATAAGTATTTTTTTGCTTTTTTTTATATTATTGCATATATTACTTATTAAAGTAATATTTTATTTTAAATAAGCTAGATGTTTTTGACTATTTTTGTTTATGTAAGTAAAGTACAACTCAAACTAAAAAACATTAAATTTTGCTGTTTGAAACAAAAAGTTGTATTTTTATATGAGCTTTATTTTGCATGTGTAAACTGACTTACATGCTTTATCTTCTCAAAGTGTTTTTCCTATCAAAGCTTGGTCAATATATTAAATATTTATGCAAAATATCTATGCGACTGACATGAATTTGCCTTTATAATGAGAATGATAGATTTTGCTTTTTTAAGGTAATTTTTTTCAAGTTAAAAAGAAAGAAATTTAAAAATTTTAAAGTTAAAAATATTTTTATTTTATTATTATATATGCTATAATTTATTTATGGGACTTTGTTTTTCAGGTATCTGCTATGAAATGTGGTTTTCTAAGAATAAGTCAAGAGTCAATAATTGTAAGAATGTGTTTACATGCAAATTTATCTTTATTTCTTATATAAAATAAAATTTTGTTGTTGTTTTAAAAGTTAGAAAGCTAAAAAAAATGTAAATCTTTTGAAACAAAAAAAAGTGATATAGTATATTTACAATGAAAATAAGAATTTCTCAGAATATTAGAAGACTTAAGTAAAATTAAGTATTTATTAGTAAATCACCAATACCTGACTTTTATATTAACTTATTAGTTGGTCAGGTTTTTAAATATGCTTTTTATCAATAATCATACTTTTTTTTTTTTTAATGTTTTTTTTTTAAATTACTATTGTAAAAAACAATTTTTGTTGTTGTTCATTTTTTTTTTTTTTTAATGTACTCAGAATGTTTATCAAACTAATTAATATTTTATATTTAAAAGTTACGTTTTCAAGCCTCCTCAGAAGAGGCATGTTGTTGCACACCGTATATAACTACACTTACATTTTTTTTTTTGTAAACTTGGCAATGGTTTTTTGTGTAATTTGAAATGTTGCACATTTCAAAAATGCTCTGAGAAAACTAAACTAATTTAAAGAGAAAATTAAAAATAAACAAACCATAAACTGTAAAAAGAAAGCAAACTTAAGATAAAAGATAAACCAGAGAAAATAATAGCATGAAAATAATATATTTTTCAATTTAGAAGTGTCTCAATTAATAGTTCAAAACTAATAATTTATTTAATTTAAAAGTCTCAATAGTTTAAATTAAATAATTTTTGCTAAATCGCCATGTCAATGTAGCGCTCTTGTTAAATAATTGTTAAATTTATGAGGACCCATATTAAATTTATGGAGGCGTGATAAAATGACGTGATATAGACACAGGCTTTGTGATTAAGCATTACATGTTAGGTTTTTCACATGTTGCGTGAGAAATATAGGGTTCTATCTGCTTTTTTTTTATGTTATAAGAATTTTAATTAACAATTAATAAAAAATCAAATAAAAGTTATATAAATAATGTTATAAGTTTAGTCATGAAATATAAATAACATAAACGTTGTATAGTTTATAATTACTAGCTGAATGGTCCCATAAAAATACGGTTCTTTATAAGTCTATTCTACACCTTTTCTATATTTTTTTTAATGCTATGTTCTATAGCTGTCTGGACCCGTAAAATACGAGTTTTTACCAAAGCAACTATTTCTATACTTATCTATTCCACAATGATTATTTCTATTATTCCTTATTTCAATATTTTTTATTAAAATAGTTCATTCTAAAAAATTGATTTAAAAGCAAAAAAAGCTAACATGCGCACCTTTTCTGCACATGTAGAGCTTATAAAAGATTTATAAAATGTTTTCTTTTTCTCCTAAAGGCATATCTTCGATGGTCAGTGGTTTAGTACGCTATCATCAGTGTTGTTTCAGGAGGGCGGGCAAATCCTCCCCTAAGTGTAATAAATTTTGAAATTTTTTTAATCTTGCTGTATATATTTATAGCAAAAAAATATATAGCAAAAAAAAACTACTTATTGTTAAAATATCAAAGTTTTCTCATTTTACTTTTCACTTATATTATACATAATCGTTCAATATATGCCTGGCAAACTCTACTTATGCTAAAGGTGTTCACACTGACAGATGTTTGTACATAACAATATACGAATGGCAGAACTATAAAGATAGCCTAATTTTAGCAAAGAGAAATTATCAAAAGAAGGGAGAGTTTTGGCAAATCTAAAATCAAGGTATCAAATTTTCCACTTGGATGAAACATTATTTTTTTTACATTTACAAAAATTCAAAACAAAACAGTTTAAGAAATTTGAAATTATTAGAAAAGTTTTCTTATATTACTAGGGTTGAAAATTTCTGGAAATTTTCTGGAAATTTTCCGGAAATTTTCCGGGAAAATTTGCTTAAAATTTTTTTTTTAATTTTTAATTTACTACTATGTATTAAAGAAATTGCAAAGAATTAAGTATCAAATCTCTTAAAAATGAGGTAACTGACATTTTTTTTTTTTTTGCTTAAATACATAAAAACTAAAAACCACAAGACGTTTCGGAGAAAATTTAAATTTTAAGTTTATTTAAAATTTCTAAGTCGTTTAAAATCTAATAAAAAAAGAAATTTATTAAAAACATGCTACCTCTATAGGCACAACATCTTTTTATATATATATACATCTTTCTTTAAGTATTTTTAATAGGGTTGGAATTTTTTTACAAAAGCTTATTAATATCTGTAATATATACACAAAAACTGCATAAAATTGAATGCTGACAAAACCGAGTTCATACTTACCGGAAAAAAGCAAATTAAAAACCGCACAATATCGAACAAATAAAACTTCACGATAAATTAAGTCATCTAGGCTTTATATGGGACACCTTTCCTAAAATCCGGGCAGTAATCCAAACTTTAATTCAATCTGGAATCTGTTTTGTTCACCCAAATTCCTTTGTCCAGTTATATAAAACTTTGGTTGTTGCACTACCTTATGGTCTAAGCTTTGTGAACATAAAAAAATATTAATGCAAAAGCTTGATATAGTTGGAAGAAATGCACTGAAGTCACTCCTTAACGTTTTAAAACATTGATAAATTTTATTCATCCCTTATTTTTTATTGAGTATGTATCAATAATTACACAACAAAACAAGCTAAACTTATTTATTCACCTGAAGAGCAATAAAATGACATTTAATATTGTAAAGTAGCAGCTGAAAAACAAAACAGCTTCAGAACCTTTTTTAGGTAGTGTCAAAGGTTTGTGCAATAGTCATGAACTAAATCTAGAGAAAATAATACAAAGTAAAAAAAAAAATCATTGACTTAATAGATGTAATTCCTGAAACGGATCTTCAAACTCTAAAATGAGCAGTTGAGTTTTGGAACTCAAAGAAACAAAAAAACAATCTTCAAGGACATTCTTGAAAAAAAAAATTCCTAGATGATTATGTTTGAATAAAAATCTTGATAAAAAAAAAAAAAAAAACTTTAAGATTTTTCATTTATCCTGAACTAAACTTTAATTTAGCTTACTTGTATAGTGGGTTTTTAACTAATAAATATATATATAATCATCATCATCATCATTATCGATTGATAAGCAGCTGTGATTTTTTTGGCTTTTTTCATCAATGTTTTTTGTTTTTAAACATGAATGTTTTATCTTTTTAGAATTACGTTTAGCCAATTTATTCTGCATTTTCAAATTATAAGCAATAAATAAAAGCTTTGATGCTCTTGTATCGGTTAGGCGATTTCTTACTTTAGATTTTTGCAATGAAAACTCTTTGTTTGCACGCTCAACAGATGCAATGCTGCAGTTACAAGACAATAATATTAATGCAATTCTATTCAATAGAATTCATTAATAAATAGAATTCAGTTGTTGGTGCATATGCTTTCCACCATGTGACTGGATTACAATCTTCATTAAGCTTCCAAATATAGCTGCGATTATCCTGGCTAAATATTCCACTACGAGCTTTGAAACTCATTAATTCATCCAATATTATATCAGTGGGTAGTGTTTCATTTTCAGCTGTTCTGAATACATGCTGCTCAGCTAAAAGCATTTCTGAATGATTTAACTTTTGACCAACAAATCTTGGATCAAGTAAATTTGCTGCAAAGTGTATCGGTCTTACAACAAAGTCTTCACGCTTTTTAATGCAAGTAATGATATCCTCTTTTTGATGTAAAGTCAAAAGTGTTGAGTTTTGCAACGCATCAGATATCTCAGTTATTACATAAAAAAAGACTTGAGGAACAATAGATACTGACGCTGCATCACTCTCTGATTCCAAAATGGCTTCTGATATAGGTTTCAGAAGTTTGAAAATTAAATCCGTCTTTTTCAAAAAGGTTTCATTCAATACTAATTCCTTTAAGTCAATTCTTTTTATTATTATTATGTTTGTCAAGATACTTTTGTGCTTTTTCATCAGTTACTGCCAGTCGCAATGAATCACAGAGTAGAATATTGCGTTGTAACATATAAAATTGTGATGACCATCTTGTTACTACAGGAAGAATTAAAATAAAACTTTTATTCAAGGAGTGTAGGCTACAACGCTCAACAATACTTTTTAGACTGTGCTTACTTTTAAAAAACTTAACTAGTTGTTTATTTTGCTTCAGTGTTTCTGAAATTATTTTGTTCATATTTGCAAGATCACAAGCTAATAAATTTAGGCCATGAGAAAAACAGCCATATGCTGACATCTAATCATATTTATTTTCTATTAATTTCCAAACTGCTACCATGTTAGCTGCATTGTCAGTGCAAAAAGCTTTTATTTTTCTTTTGTTTGATATAACATTTTTATCTTCAATAATCTCAACAATTTGATTGAATATGTATTGTCCAGTGTGGGAGTTTTCTTTTGGATGAATACTTCTGATGTATATTGGAGTTGGAGTAGCTAACATAATCTGTATATGTGAATCATTACTTATACGAGACCAACCATCTGTCATCAGAACAAAAGTTTCTGACTGGGATATTAAATCTTGTATGAATTTATTTACTTTTATATACTGTGTCTAAAAGATTATGACTCAGGGCATAACGATTGGGAGGTGACCAACCTGGTCGAATCTTTTTAAAAAAATTAGTCCAGAATGGATTTTCCGACGCTGGCTGTTGCATAAATTGCTCTTGCATATTGTATATTTATTTCATCACTCTTGTGTTGAAACTTTATCAAAAAAATATGATATTGATTTTTGATTGCTAGTATATATAGAAGTTGAACAGAAAGCCTTTTTTTCTTCTAAAATATTTGATAAAGAACATTCTTGTAAATCAGAATGTAATTCGTTATTAGCCACATTCATTGTGGAACTGGTTCCTGACTTTCTCTTAAAGATGGCATAATTGTTGTCACAGCAATCAATAAAACAATCATTTTCTATTATTAAATCTGACACACCTGCATTATTTGTTGTATTTGCGTTGAGTTCAATTAAAGATTTAACTAATAATATTCCGTTTTTTGTTTTAGGAGCAAAACTT